GGGGGGGGGGGCGCGGGGCTGGGGGCCTCTCCCTGCGCGGCACTGACCCGGCGCCCCGCGGCCTGGCCGGTGTCCAGGAGCTCAGCCTCGGCCAGGCCCCAGGGGGGCCAGGGCCAGGGGAAGGGGGGTCCAGGGCTTGGGCGAGGGGGATAAAGCAGAAATGGGGGAGGGGCTGGGGCGGGGCCAGGGCAGGAGCCAGGGTTGAGGAGAGGGTGCAGGGCTTGGGGGAGGGGCCCAGGGTGCAGGTGCCACCACGTGGGGGCCTTCCTGGGCACCACTCCAGCCTCAGAGGATGGCACTGACCTCTTCTGGACAGGAAACCCCCGAGAAGTTGAGGGAGATCCGGACCCTCATCCAAGAAGGCCAGAGTGCACACACTGGCGGCCTCACACGCTTTATTCAGAACCTGGGGTGGTCAGAACCCCGTCCCCAGTGTCCTGCATCTGCTGGACCCTTGCCTGGCTTCCAGGCTACTGAAGGGCCGACATCTGGACCTGGGCTTGGTCGGGCCATGCCACGGTTGGAGGAGGGGCCGCGGGCAGTGACCTGGGAGAGGGGAGGGGAGGGGGCAGCGAGGTGAGCCCCTTGCTTCTCACCACTCTGCTGGGCTGTCGGCCTCCATCGTCTGAGGATCCAGCTCCTCAACAGGCACCCCCCCGCCCCCCTCCCATGAGCGGTGCACAGCCCTGGCCACAGGACGACACTGTCAGAGGGTGTGGGTCCCCTTCTCTTCTGCCTGCTTCCTCCAGGGCAGCCAGCCTCTATCCAGGCCAGGCTGGAGCCTCTGTGCACCCAGGCTGCCCTCTTTTGGCCAGGCCGCCTGCGTGGACACTGAGGGGTGTGGCCAGAGCATCCAGGGATGGAAGGCCATGGACACCCCCAGGGACAGTCTGGGAAGTGCCCTCATCCTGCCCCCGCAGCCCTGGGGAGCTCTGTAGCCTGGAGGCTGGGGGGCACAAGACGAGGAGGGGGACCGTTTGGCCTCACCCGGCCACGGGAGGGCGCCCTAACTCCATCGGGGGCGGCCACGGTTACCTGGCAGCAGAACCTCCTCTAGGAAGCCCCTGGCCTGGACTCCACCTTGGATCTACTGGGCCTGGCTGAGAACTGGATTCTGGTCACTTCTCAGTCTGAGCTTCTGCTGAGGGGCCAGCAGGCCAGGCTTCCCACAGCTTACCACCCGGTCACGCGGCCATGTGGGGGGCCCCGTGGATGCAGGAAGATCGCCTGCTGGCCCAGGTGCCTGCAACTGGCTCCAGACCCAGGCCGGGTAGCAGGCCCAATGGGAGGAGGGTAGTGGCCGGGACCTACAGATGGACGCTGCCCAGGGCTGGGCCCACCTGGCACCTTGCGGGCCTCCCTGACCTCCGCCCAGGAGGCTGAGAGCCAGCCACCGAGAAGAGGGCTGCCCTGTGGGACCAGGGACCTCTGAACAGACGGACCCCAGAGCTGCCACTTTGGGGGAAAGTAACTAAGAAGACCAGAGGGGCTGGGGCGGTGACAGCGGGAAGAGCCCTGCACGGATGCCCGACTGCCCGCTCGGCCAGCAGGGGGGCTGGGCAGGTGCCCAGGCCCGGCGGCCGGGCCCCGGGAAGGGCCTTCCATCCTCGGCGGCTCAGCGCGGGCCTGGAGCCAAGGGGCTTTCTTTTTTTTTTTAAAGCAAAGCTATCTTTTTACCTTGATAAGCTGTTTAAAAAATGTAAATAAAATAATGCAGCAGACAAAAGCAGGCATTCACGCGGCTGGGGCCAGCCGCCGCCCTCGACATGATATATCGCAGCGCATTAAGTCGTGAGTCCCCGCTAATCCGAGCGGACAGGCCTGAAGGCGGCCCCTCGGCGGCGCGGCGGTGGGCACTGGAGCGTGCACTGCCTGCCGGGCCGCCCCGCTCGGGGACAATGGCCTTTCTTCGCACGAGGGGCCTGTGCGGGACAAGAGCCCCCTTTGTGTGCAAGTCTTGCCTCAGAGCGCGAGGGAGGCGCATTCGGCCGCCCAGACGCTCTTTGAAAGGCCTGAGCGTAACAGGAGACGCGACACACCAGCCCGCCTTCTGCCTCGGCGCCCATTCAGCCCCGGCCGAGCCCCGAGCAGCCGGGCACCCGGTCCCTGCGCCGCCATCGTGGCCGCGCGGCACATCCTCCACCTGGGCCTGGGCCGCACACCGCCGTTCCGATGGGCCTCCTCACCGGGAAGAGGGCCCCGTGTGGGGTGGGCCTGGGACCCGCCTGGGCGCCGGTCGCACCCCACGCCTGTTGGCACCCTGGCGCCAGAACCTTTGGGCCCCACGAGGCAGCGGGGGAGGTGGGCCCGGAGCGAGCCTCTGGGCCCTGGGTGCTGGACTCACCACCCAGGGAGAGGGCACCTCTGAGCCGGGCGCCCGGGACTGCCCCACGTCCCCTGCCCTGCGAGGTCATGGCGTATCTCGCATCTCGGGGTGTGCGGAGCCCCGGGCCCCCTGCACCTGCAGCACAGTTCAGAGCTTCGCTGACAGCGCCCCCTCGCTGCTCGCCCGTGGGCCCCGCCGCTCCCGACCTCAGCCACAGACGGGTCATCCGTGGTGAACACTGGGCCAGGACCCCAGAGCTCCCTCTGCATCTCAGAACCTTCTGGGCTTCAACGAGGACCGCTGCTGCTCACGAAGGACACTCAGCAAACCCACCAAGCTTCCAAAAGCCCCCAGTTCCCACCCAGAGACCTGCAGCCACTAAGCCCCACGTTTGCGCTCCTGGCCCAGCAGACCAGGCAGGGTGTGGGGGGCTGTGCCCAGCCTCTTTCTCAGTCGGTCAGCTCGAGGGGCTCCCAGGGCCTCCACGCCAGGAACGAACCTGACATGGTCCCCAGGGCAGCCGGTCCCCAAAAGCCTGCACACCAGACATGAGGCCCCCTGCAAGGCCCCCCACGCTGGAGGGTAGAGGGGACACTTCTGGGCTAGGCGCCTCGAGCCCCAGCCTGGCTCCTGCCCACCCTGCTGACCCATGTGGAGGCCCGGCCCGTGGACGAGAGGCCCAGAGCCACAGGAAGGGTCTCACTCACTTCTTTGAACTTGCCCTCCTGGTGCAACCGGTGGACGTGAGCCAGCAGGGGGCTCCGGTCTGCGTCCTGCAGCTGGAAGATGCTGACCAGCGGCTCCACGAGGCCGGGGGGGCTCTCGGCGAGGAGCCTGACCGCACGGGCCTGCAGCTGCTTCAGCCCTGGGCTGCCCTGGAGGCCCCAGACCCAGCTTCAGTGGAGGCGGCAACGGGAGTCACGGGGCCTGATGCGGGTCGGGGGTTGGTGCTTGGGCAGGCCCGGTGCGGCCAGCACCTGCAGCCCACAGCCAGTGGGTGGACGCTGTGGGTGAGCAGGGGGCTGGCGGGCAGGGGCACAGGCAAGGGAGCCGAGGTCGGCCCGGCGTGTGGCTCTGGGGAGGCCGAGAGCCCCCGACCACAGTGGGCGACCTCCACAGGCCGCAGGGTCCCGGCCAGGTGTGCGTGGGAACCCCGTGCCGAGGCTGGGACAGGCTGGGAAGGGGCAGGCTGTGGGCCGCAGGCAGGGCTCACCTGGGCCAGCCCCGGGCACAGCTGTGCCTGCAAGCAGCGCTTCAGCTCGCGGGCGACCCAGGCCTCCAGGGAGGGGCCCTTCCCCCGCCAGCCCCGGCTACCGTCCAGCATGTCCAGGAGGGCAGCGAGCGGGTCCTCCAGGGCGGCGAACCCCCTCTGGGCTTCCTCCTGGAGCTGTGGAGACACAAGGCCTCGCTGTGGTGAGTGGTGTGCCGGCCTCCCCCACCCGCACGGAGCCGCCCACACCTTCCTGGTCCACTGCACCCAGGCCGGGCACAGGGACCATCCAGGCCAATGGTCCTGCAAAGGCTGGGGCTTGCTCCCCAGGCCAGACCCTGGGCGGAGCTCCTCTGTGCCCTGACCACCCGCGTGGCATGCATGGGACATGGCGCTGGCCCTTCAGAGACGGTGACAGGTCAGCACGGCCCAGCAAATGACAGGAGACGGAAAAAAGGAAAAAACCCCAACTGAAAAATGCCTTTTGTTTACTTTTCTACCTCCTGTGCTGGGAAGCTCTGGGAGACACATAAGAGCTGAAAGACAGAGACAAGAACAGGTGTGCTCCCCAACACCCACGTCCAGGGGGACAACGTGCATCTCACCACCGTCTCTAGAGCAGCCGGGCATCCTCTGCGTGACCAGCAGGGCCCTGTGCACGGCCAGCCCGCCACGCCCTGCCCGCTCCAGTGGTTCAGGTCACTGCAGCTCCCTTGACCGAGGACCTACTGGGGTCCGGCCCAGGGTGGAGCTGCAGGCGTCAGGTGTGAGCTCAGGGGGCCGAAGCCCTCGCACCCAAGGGCCCTCTGGAAGGGGCTGCCCTCGCTGTGGCTGTTGGAACTCACCTGACATGGCCTCAAACAGACCCTGAGGACAGCTGTCACCCTCCAGGACGGATGGGCAAGGCCACACACACCTCTCAGGGGTCAGAAGGGCACCAGCAGGGGGCCGCGGTTCCCACAGAGCCTGGGGGCCACCGTCCAGCATTGCCCGAGGAGGGGGCGGGGCCTCCATCAGCACCACACCCCTTGCTTGGGAAAAGGAAAGGTCTAGAAGGACCCAGCTCTGGACTTTGGATTTGGATTTATTTCCACGTGTGCTCAGGAGGTTGGTCCTGGGGATGGCCCTGGGGACCTGGCCCTCAGCCACCAGAGGAAAAAACCTGCACTAAGGTGAGCTCACAGTAAAAAACAACAGGCACACAAGGAACAATTCACCATGAGTGGTGACTGCAAGCAGGGCGATCAAAGCTCTAAGAGTAAAGAACAATAAGATATCGGTTTGGGGATGAAAATAGAATATAAATATGTCTAGAATTATAAAAGAAAAAAATAATCAAAACTAAGTAAAGAATAAGATGCAAGTGGCCCTGAGCGGTAGCTGCAGCCCTGGGGTGGACCTCACGCACCAGGGTTGGGCCCCAGGGGTTTACGTCTGGCCCCGTGTCGCCCTCCCGTGCTACCCCTGCCCTTGACATGGTGGGCTCAGCGTCCATGTCGATGATCCTCCGGACCCCTGGCTCTGAGACCCTGGCTGACCTCCTCCCTCCGTCCCTCCTGCCCTCTGGCCTCCCCTCCATCTCCAGATTCCCTGTCCTGTCCGGTCCCCGAAAACTCCACGTGCTCTGCTGGGCTCCAGCTGCTCTCATGCGGCCGCCCCCTGGGTCCCTCTGCTGCTCCCTTGGCCCCCAGGACACCCTGGCTCATCTGCACCCTCGTCCTCAGGGCTCGAGCCACCGCATCTCCAGCTGCTGGGCCCTTGGTTATCACACACGTCCGAGCTTGGACACTGCACAGCGTGGTGCCGGCTGCTCACAGGAACCCAGGACAAGCTCTGGTGAGCAAACGTGTGTCCCCTCCAGGCAGGAGCTTTCGCCAAGTAGGGAACTCAGAGCGTTTATATAACTAACCACAAAACAAGCCTGTCCTGTGCAAAAACCAAAACAGATGGACCGGGCTCTTTCACAGCCAGAAACAAACAGCTAACCGAGATCAAGACACAGCCCTGTGTTTCTCTGGAAATGAACAACAGGTTGGTCGAAGGAGACACAGTGAAAATCAGAAAACAGGAAGGGCGATGGACCCTTACACATCAAACCGGTGACGAACAGAACTCGGGGGGAAGGTGTGGCAGGTTAAGGGCAGCATCGGAAACCAAGACTCCTGGAAACCGATGACTTGGGCGTCCGGCTACCTGAAGGCTGAGATCAGCCCCCGGAAAGAGGCACAAGGCTGGGGGAGGGGCAGCGCTGCCGGGGGACGCGGGGGTCAGGAACCGGGAGGGACCTCCGGCCGAAACCGTGGTGACATGGAGGAAGCGGACACTTCCCAGAGAAATAAATCCAGAGACAGACACTCTGCCCAGGAGCAACCCCCAGGCTTCACTTGCAGGCCCCCCACCCGCGCCCCGCCGCCCCCGGGGCAGCGCCCGGCTCGTCCTCAGGCTCTGTGGGCCTCTGGCTCCTGCCTTCAGTGAACAGGGATGGAGGGTCGTCTCCAGCCGAGCTCACAAGCTGGCTCACCGTGACACCAGGGCAGAGGATACCACCTCGCAACGAGCCCGCTCCCAACAGGAAGGCTGAACAGCACCACAGCCCTGTTGCCTGAGTCTCACCCTCAAGCCACAGGGCACGAAACTGGAAAATCAAAAAACGTTTGGCTTTTGCAAAAACTCTGGATTCTCTAGCTGATGGCTAGAGATGGCTGCTCTCGGGCCTAAGCGCAGTGGATGGGCCGCTATCTGCCCAAGGCCCCGCAGCTCAGCCGTGCGGGGAGCCCAGGCCTGTCCAGAGAGGAGGCCGGCTGCCGGCCCTCCTCCACCACGAAGCGCTGTGGAAGCCTGGAGTTTACCTGCTCCGGACGCCTGCCCGACCAGCCTGCCTCAGGTCTGGGTGCCCTGCCCACCTCGGCGGGCAGCTGGAGGCCAGGCTGGCACGAGAGGATGGGGCCCTCTCCCTCCAGCCATGCGTGGGCCCGTCCTCCCCAGGAGCCAGGGAAGCCTCCCTCGCCCTTTCGCTGCCTCAAGGGAGCAAAGTGCAGGGAAGGAACGGCCGAGGGCCAGCAACTGCACCACCCCCGGGGGCCGCGAGGCAGAGTTGCCCTCCTGGCACAGGTCACGGCGGGACACGGTCTGGGCAGTGGCGGCTGCCACTGCAGGACCCCCAAGTGGCTGTGGAAGACGCTGGCAGCCTCCCCGCCAGAGCTCCTCCCGCCAGACCACACGCATACCCCCCCGCTGTCCAGGCAGGCTGTCCTGCTGCCCCTCTGGGAGAGGGGGCAGCGGGCAAGGCCCGGCAGGTGCCCCGCGCTGCCCGGAAACTGGTGGTGGGCACAGGCCCTCCCTGCCTGCTCTGAGCGTCCAGCAGGCCTCATCCCACGGCTCCAATCCCATGCATCCCCCAGAACATTCGGACACGGCAGCCTGCTGAGGCTGGCGGCCAGGTGCCCACACCCCGAGTGCTCACCTGTCCCAGCTCCCGAGTGGACCACAGTGTCTTCAGGGTCTGCAGGAACAGCAGCGGGTCCCGGCCTGAGGGGACAAGACAAGGGCCGAGGAGGGGCTGAGAGGAAGGCGGGGGCCGAGGCCTGGGGGCTCCCGCAGATGCCGCCCAGCGCCCACGGCCCTTTGTGCCCTCTCTGCCCCTTCCCCAGGACCGTGGCCCGGCCACCCAGCAGGGCTGCTTCCCGCAGTGCCCATCAGGGTGGGCTTCCCCTGACAGCTCAGGGAGCCTGGCCTCAGCTTTAAACCGCGGTGGGTTCAGAGTGGCCATGTGAGCGGGGAAGGGGCGTCGGTCGCCGGGGCTAAGTCGGCAGTACTGACCTGGCCCCCCACGGGCAAGGCCCACCCATCGGGGTACGCCGCCCACACACCCATCCACCGCCCACCATGTCTGGCCTCTGGCCCCTGCCGAGGCCCCGAAGTGGTCCTGGCCTCTGTCTCCCCCGTCTCCCCTCTGCCCTGTCCCGGCCCCGGGTGAGCCCCATGCAGGCCTGAGTCTCACCCTCAAGCCACAGGGCACGAAACTGGAAAATCAAAAAACGTTTGGCTTTTGCAAAAACTCTGGATTCTCTAGCTGATGGCTAGAGATGGCTGCTCTCGGGCCTAAGCGCAGTGGATGGGCCGCTATCTGCCCAAGGCCCCGCAGCTCAGCCGTGCGGGGAGCCCAGGCCTGTCCAGAGAGGAGGCCGGCTGCCGGCCCTCCTCCACCACGAAGCGCTGTGGAAGCCTGGAGTTTACCTGCTCCGGACGCCTGCCCGACCAGCCTGCCTCAGGTCTGGGTGCCCTGCCCACCTCGGCGGGCAGCTGGAGGCCAGGCTGGCACGAGAGGATGGGGCCCTCTCCCTCCAGCCATGCGTGGGCCCGTCCTCCCCAGGAGCCAGGGAAGCCTCCCTCGCCCTTTCGCTGCCTCAAGGGAGCAAAGTGCAGGGAAGGAACGGCCGAGGGCCAGCAACTGCACCACCCCCGGGGGCCGCGAGGCAGAGTTGCCCTCCTGGCACAGGTCACGGCGGGACACGGTCTGGGCAGTGGCGGCTGCCACTGCAGGACCCCCAAGTGGCTGTGGAAGACGCTGGCAGCCTCCCCGCCAGAGCTCCTCCCGCCAGACCACACGCATACCCCCCCGCTGTCCAGGCAGGCTGTCCTGCTGCCCCTCTGGGAGAGGGGGCAGCGGGCAAGGCCCGGCAGGTGCCCCGCGCTGCCCGGAAACTGGTGGTGGGCACAGGCCCTCCCTGCCTGCTCTGAGCGTCCAGCAGGCCTCATCCCACGGCTCCAATCCCATGCATCCCCCAGAACATTCGGACACGGCAGCCTGCTGAGGCTGGCGGCCAGGTGCCCACACCCCGAGTGCTCACCTGTCCCAGCTCCCGAGTGGACCACAGTGTCTTCAGGGTCTGCAGGAACAGCAGCGGGTCCCGGCCTGAGGGGACAAGACAAGGGCCGAGGAGGGGCTGAGAGGAAGGCGGGGGCCGAGGCCTGGGGGCTCCCGCAGATGCCGCCCAGCGCCCACGGCCCTTTGTGCCCTCTCTGCCCCTTCCCCAGGACCGTGGCCCGGCCACCCAGCAGGGCTGCTTCCCGCAGTGCCCATCAGGGTGGGCTTCCCCTGACAGCTCAGGGAGCCTGGCCTCAGCTTTAAACCGCGGTGGGTTCAGAGTGGCCATGTGAGCGGGGAAGGGGCGTCGGTCGCCGGGGCTAAGTCGGCAGTACTGACCTGGCCCCCCACGGGCAAGGCCCACCCATCGGGGTACGCCGCCCACACACCCATCCACCGCCCACCATGTCTGGCCTCTGGCCCCTGCCGAGGCCCCGAAGTGGTCCTGGCCTCTGTCTCCCCCGTCTCCCCTCTGCCCTGTCCCGGCCCCGGGTGAGCCCCATGCAGGCTGGCCACTCCCCAAAGCTTCCCCACCCCCATGGCCGCTGCTGCCTGAAGCCGCTGTCCCAGCTGCAGAACGGGGCGTGGAGTCATGACACAGGTGCCACTCAGCCCAGCGCTGGCCGGGACAGGGGAGGTCGGGGTCACCCTCCTGCTGGAAAAGGGTCGGCGCCTAAGGCCAGATCCAAGGCCAGTGCCAAGGAGAGCTGGCTGGCCTGGAAAGGTCGCTGCTGCCAGCTCTTGGCTTGGGAAAGAAAGCTGTTTCTGAGGCCAGGGGACCGGGGACCCAGCTCCGAGGTGCCCATGGCCACCAGCGCCCCCTGGCTGTGGGCCCGCCCCTGGGCCTCACGCTCCCTGCACTCCAGGCGGGGCTTCCGCCTCCCCAGCGCCTCACTGCAGCCCTGCCAGCCTCAGCAGCACCTCCCGGGCCTAACCCACTCCCCCACCCCCGCTCCCTGGCAGCCCGAGCCTTGAGGCCCAGCCCCTCCTTGCCTTGCGAGTTCTGCTTCAAAGGCCCGGGTGCTGTAACCTTTCCAGCCCCACTGAGAAATTACAGACAAACCTTCCGGTTTTTTTTTTTTTTTTTTTTAAACTGAATGACCACACTGTATGTATTTATTTACCTGGCTGCGCCAGGTCTTAGTTGCGGCATGCATGCGGAATCTAGCTCCCTGACCAGGGATCAAACCTGGGCCCCCTGCATTGGGAGCGCGGAGTCTTAGCCTTCTGGTCGTTTTGTTCAGAACCGGCAGGTGCCAAGGCCCAGAGCCCAGGGAGGACCGGAAGGAAAGCAGCCAAGGGGGGTCTGGGCTCCCAGCGTGTCCCCGACCCCAGCCCAGGAGGTGGGAGAAGCCCCTGGCACTTAGCCAGGACCTCGGCCACACCTCGCACATGGTGGGGATCGGGGTCAGGGGTCAGGACCCCAGCCATGCCCTCACATGGTGTGGGTCGGGGTCAGGGGTCAGTCAGGACCTGATCATCAGTGCACACACTGGGGCAGGGGAGGCCACTAACAGACTCTCCCGGCCCAATCTGGGGGATCAGGAGCCCAGGTGGCTTCACCTGCAAACCAACCCAAGAATCAGGGGGTCGACGGCAACCTGCTGGCTCCATGCAGGAGGCGGGATGGAGGGAAAGGCTGGGGACCTGAGCCACACCCTGGAGGACAGCCCCTGAGCACACGGGCTCAGGGACCCGGGAGAGACACCCGTGTACACCACAAGAGCGTCCGTCCCAGAAAGCAAGGCTGGCTGGACAACTGAAGGTCCATCAGCCTGGTTCGCTAGTGAAATAAAGGACGGAAGTCACATGATGCTCTCAATGGATGCAGCACAAGCATCTCCTAAGGGAGGCTTCTAGTTATAATTTAAGAAATAACTCAGCAAACTAAAAGAGAAGGAACTTCCTTAACCAGACAAAAGGCACCTATAAAAAACCCTCAGCGAACACAGAACTCAATGCTGAAAGCCTTCCCCTAAGACGCAAACACCAGGAGGATGCCCACTGTGCATTCGACGCCAGTGCAGAGCAGCAAGAAGGAAAAATTAAGGCCACAGAACTTAGAAAGGAAAAAATAAAAGCATAAGCACTCTGACCAATAAACTCTGGTCCCTCCAGACAATGGAATATTATTCAGCACTAAAAAGACGTGAGCCATCAAGCCATGAAAAGACAGGGAGGAAACTTAAATGCCAATTACTAAGTGAGAGAAGCCAATCGGAAAAGGCTGCAGACTACGTTCGTAGTATGATTCCGACTCTATGACGTTCTGGAAAAGGCAGAACTATGGGGTCAGTATGAAGATGAGGAGTTGCCGGGGGCTGGGGGGAGGGAGGATGGACAGGAGAGCACAGGGGGTTCAGGGCAGTGAAACTACTCTGTGAACCTTCAGTAGTAGAAAACATGTCACTCTGCATCGTCCAAACCCACAGAACGTACCACACCAAGAGTGAGCCCCAAGGTAGACTGCGGACTTTGGGTGACGATGGCGTGGCCGGGCAGGTCCCTCACTCACCACAAGTGTCCCGTCTGGTGGGGATGGCGATAACGGGGGAGGCGGTGTGTGTGGGAGGGGCAGGGGGCAGATGGGAAATCTCCACGTCCTTCTCCATTTTGCTGTGAACCGAAAACTGCTCTAAAAAATAAAGTCTTTAAGAATAAAAACAGAGATGGAAGCAACCTAAGTGCCCACCATTGGATGACTGGATAAAGAAGATGCGGCACATACATACGATGGAATATTACGCAGCCATAAAAAGAAATGGAATTGAGCTATTTGTAGTGAGGGGGATGGACCTAGAGTCTGTCACACAGAGTGAAGTAAGTCAGAAAGAGAAAGACAAATACCGTATGCTGACACATATATATGGAATCTAAGAAAAAAAAATGTCATGAAGAACCTAGGGGTAAGACGGGAATAAAGACACAGACCTACTGAAGAACGGACTTGAGGATATGGGGAGGGGGAAGGGTGAGCTGTGACACAGCGAGAGAGAGGCATGGACATATACACACTACCAAACGTAAGGTAGATAGCCAGTGGGAAGCAGCCGCATGGCACAGGGAGACCGGCTCGGTTCTTTGTGGCTGTCTGGAGGGGTGGGATAGGGAGGGTGGGAGGGAGGGAGATGCAAGAGGGAAGAGATAGGGAAACATATGTATATGTATAACTGATTCACTCTGTTATAAAGCAGAAACTAACACACCATTGTAAAGCAATTATACCCCAATAAAGATGTTAAAAAAAAAAGAATAAAAACAATACCCAAAAACGTCATTACGCACTGAACAAATGATTGATTTTTTAGAAAGCAATGAAGAATCTAAAGACAAGTATTAGAATTAATCAATGGACTTATTTCAGCGTGGATGGTGAACACAAGGCCAGTATTAAGAAATCCATTGTTGGGGCTTCCCTGGCGGTCCAGTGGTTAGGGCTCCGCACTTCCATTGCAGGGCGCCCGGGTCCAATCCCTGGTTGGGGAACTAGGATCCCTCAAGCCACTTTGGTGTGGCCAAAAAAAAAAAGAAGTCCACTGTTCCCTCCATACTAGCGACAGACAGAAATGAACATTTAAAAAAGATCAGGTACAGTAACATAAGAAATTACAAATTTCTTGGGATAAACGTAACAAAAGAAGTTCATGCAAAAAATACAAAATGTCACCGAGAGGGGCTTCCCTGGTGGCGCAGTGGTGAAGAATCTGCCTGCCAGTGCAGGGGACACAGGTTCGAGCCCTGGTCTGGGAAGATCCCACATGCCGCAGAGCAACTAAGCCCGTGAGCCACAACTACTGAGCCTGCGCTCTAGAGCCTGCAAGCCACAACTGCTGAGCCCACAAGCCACAAGTACTGAGCCCGCGAGCCACAACTACTGAAGCCCGCACGCCTAGAGCCTGTGCTCCGCAACAAGAGAAGCCACCGCGATGAGAAGCCCGTGCACCGCAACAAAGAGGAGCCCCCCTCGCCGCAACTAGAGGAAGCCTGGACGCAGCAACGAAGACCCAACACAGCCAAAAATAAACAAATTAAAAAAAAACGTCACTGAGAACAAAATTAAAAGGCCTGATTCAGGACAGGCTATACCGTATAATCAGTAATATGCAAAGTTGTCAATTCTCCCCAAATTAATCAGCAGACCCCACACTCTAACCCAAACAGTAGCAGTGTGAGTGGGTGCGGGGGCCCTGTCTTAACAACCGCAGGGAAACCAGAGGACCGCCCCACCCAGGCCAGAGCCACAGGGGTTAAGGCTGAGCGTGTGGCCCAGGGAGGGGGGACTTGGAGCCGGAACTGGGCATGCGTGGTCCAGGGTGTGCGGCCAGTGTGGGAAACGGCATAACCTTATTGAAAACACTGGGATGTCACCCCCATCTCACACCTACAGAAAACCCACCAGGGGCTGTAGGTCTCACTGTGAAGACAGATCAACAGAGCCTCTGCAGGGCACCCGCACAATACCTTGATGACCTCGGGACACGGTTAAGTCAAGAATTCCTACCAAAAGGAAGGGCCTAGCAGGTGCCAGCCAGAGGTCTCCTTCCCCACTGGGCCCTGCAGACCACGCCCAGTGCGAGGAAAGTCTAACAGGGTCAGGCTGGGCCAGGCTGCTCTCCATTCACGGCTCCCCCAGGCCCAGTGCCCTTTTGGGTCCAAGCCACAGGCCAGGCTGCACCCTCGGTCACTCACACCCTCGGCCTTCAAGCCGCTGCCCAAGCACCGCTGACCCGCCGGCCTGGCCCCCTCGCCTGACACTGCACGTGGGATGCGGGTTTGCTGTCTGTCCCCTCCCGAGGCTGCCAGCTCCCGGCAGTGACCATGTTGGCCCTGTTCAAGTCTGTGGCCCAGGCCTTGAGGGACACTCTATAGTGACTGCTGGACAGTGCCAAGGCCAGACTTGCACGCGCAGACAAGGTCACCAGCTTCCGTGCCCATGGGCAAACACCCGGGAAGCCCAAGGTGGAGCTGGAGGGGCCCCGGGGCCGGTGTGAATGTGGGCCCGGGCCTGAGTGCAGCAGGCACCAAAGGCCAGCACAAGGAGGACTCATCGAGCACAGGGTGCCCGGCCCGGGGCCACCCTGCCAGCCGAGCGTGGGCCAGTCCCGCTCCCTCGACTCAGGGATGCACCACAGGAGGCCAGGCTGAGCTAGGAGGGTGGGCACAGGGGCCTTCGGTACACAGGGTAGACATCAGCCGTGGCCACAGTCTGGCCACCGCTGCCACCTCCCCACCCTGGGCCTGGGACTGGGCCACCCTGATATCCTGGACCTGCTGGCCAGGGGTGGCCGGACGGCAGGTCAGGGGCGGCAGGGCAGGTGGCCGTTGGCCTGGTACCTGCCCCCTGACACCGCCCCAGGAGCACGTGGGT